ACTTCCTCCCTGTGTTTCTTATTCCCATTCTCCTTCTTTCGAACCCCTTCTGAACTTTGTTCTTGGATAAATGTTACCCTTTTGATCTCAAGTGGTTGATTATTCTAAGTTGTATATACCTCATTAGTGGTATTGTTGTTTGAAAATTGTGCCATAGTTCCAGACTTGAGGAGTGACTAAGGACAATTGTCTCGCTGATCCACCATTCTCTATCCAACCAGTAAACCTGGTCATTTTTATGATATTGAGGTTTGTTCCTCATTATTCTTCCTAGGGGAGCTCTATATGAATATCAAAAATTTCAAGCTTTTTAGTAATTAGTGTTTACTTTCTTTTGTACCTTCTCAAAGCATTTTCTACTTCCTGCCCATTAACTCCTCCCACCAGAAGGCAAGAATATTAATAGAACACAGGACATGTAGCCAAAATTGCAAAGTTGGAAATAGTCATTTTAACAATACAGCTTTCAGTATGTATATGTGTTTCTACATTTTAGTATCATAGAGCAGTGACCAGAAAGAACTACTTTTTATTTGATCATAGTTTGCTATATATGCACTGTAGGATGAGCACTGGACCACAAGCCAGTTTGAACTGCAGAGTCAGAGGTTCAAACTCACCACTAGCTCTTTGGAAACCCTATACAGAGTTGCTATGGGTTGGATTTGACTCGATGGAACTTAACAACAACAGCAACAATCTATCTTACTGAAATTTGACTCCCTGAGTTTTTGAATGACAACATAGGGTAGTGTAATGAGCACTGTCCTAAGAGAACATTATGTTTATGAGACCTGGCTTCTGATATAAATCTGTAATATTGTATGAACAGCATCAATTAAAATAATTTTATTTTTACTAATTATTACTTTTTAACTAAAAATGATGTAATGATACTATAAACAAAAAAATGTCTTGCATGCTGCATGAGCTGAATACATTATTTACTGAATGAATGAATGAATGAATGAATAGGGCTCTGTCCACAAAGACACTTCATATAAAACCTACTGTCCCTTACACTAAAAATGTGGGAACTGAACACTTGTCAAAAGCACATATTTCTGGGTTTTTCCATAAGAGATTCTGATATTATGCTGAGTGAAATTAGCCGGTCACAAAAGGACAAATGTTACATAACACCATTATTGTAAAAGCTTAAGAAAAGATATCTATATTAAAAGGGAAAAATATGTTTTTGTTGGTTACCAGAGGTGGGAGGGAGGGAACAGTAGAGTATAGGGTAGGGGATAGACACATCATAGTTCAGGAGTTGGGGAGGGCAATACCCAAAAAGGGGGAGGGGATGGAAGAACAAGGTAGATAGGGGAACACTGAGGCAGGTTTTCATAGGCTAAATGGGACAGAGGTAAATAATGATGTATGCTCAACCTTGGAACAACAGGGCTCTGTGATATAGGGATTGAGACATAGTCTGAATGGGTAAAAAGAGGGGAAATGCTGTTAAGATGCTTGACTGTCTTTTGAATATTGGTTTCCCTTGCCTATTACTGTAAAATAGACACTTGAGTGGGATAGAAAGGAATATCTTGAAACTTGATTATAGAAAGCTTGTAAGCCTGTCTTCAGGCTGTATCTGATTATATTACCTAAAAGGTGTTCTAGAACTTGCCTAGTGAAAGAGGCTTCTTGTGGAGCCTTTGTAGTGTGTATAGGACCTTAGCTGGAATCCTGAGCCTCATCCAGAACCTTCTGAGGTGGGACATTCCCACTTGAAATGACAAGAAGACCAGCCTGGAGCAGCTAGAGGAACAGAAGATACTTCTTGAAAGAAAGACCATCAGGGAAAAGAAAAAAAACAAAATGGCAGTCTGACTGGCTACCACAAGAACAAGCAAGCTGTTTGCTCGGGATCCATAAAGGCAAGCAATCAAGTCCCTTCAGTACAAACCGCTTTCCAAGACTGAAACTCAAAAAGAATACAAGAGCAGGCATGTAAGCTTGCTGGTGACCGCATTGAAGATGTGAGCTGAGTTTGACTACATTCCATAGACTTCTAACAATCTGGAGATGAGAGAGACAAGAGGAAGGGCTGGTTGGTCTGAAGTATGGTGAGACCTGGGGATTCCTGGGCCTGTGGACAAGGATATGGCATCCAGCTAATAGGAAGTGAGGTGAGATGCACAAGAATGCCTAAATTTGCAGACAGTACTCCTTTGACCTAACTTCAATGGTTGGATGATCAAAACTTGACTACAGGAAGATAAAAAAATTTGATAAAGGAAACAAATGTAAATTGCTACAATTGATGAACTTGACCTATACTTATGGATGCAGTAGCTTAAAATACCAATTGAGAAAGAAGAAATCTTCATTCAAGGATCATTCCCATCCCCTCTGTACATAGAGTTGATAGGGATGGGCACCATAGCCACTGGCTACCTAAAATGGGGGCTGGTGGCTATAAAGGCACAAAATGTCTTTCTTATAAGTTTTCAAGAGGAAGTTTAGTTTCAGAGTGTGCAGGGGAAGGGAGAATGCCCATTGACTAGTTTTCATCTTGTCTAAATGGATCTGGTAAAAGGAGATGGGGATACGATTCTTATGATTCAATAGTGAGTAATTGTTATCATGACTAATTGCGATTGTCACAACTGTAAAGGTAAAAGTTTTGTACCAAAAAAGGAGGATTATTAAATCTTTCAGTCCAGGAACAGAGGACCCAAGCACCATCCATAGAGTAGAGCATGAGTGGAACATGGAATCCTGTTCAGAGAAGCAGCGACACCAGACATGGAGAGATACAGAAGCTGAAGACTCTAGACTCATGGAAAGAGAAAGGCTGTGTGTTGGCAGCCAGGAGGCAGGCTTGTAGAATGTGCCCTTTGGTTGTTTAAATGATTATATATTCTTGAGTGTTTTGTGTACATCCAAAAACAAAACAAAAAACCCAGCGGTAATAGAAGCAAATACTGTTGAATGATGATGCATGGAGGGGATTATAATCATTGCAATGAAATGAAATACAATAGGATGAGTGTAAAACTAATGTTCTTGCATGTAAACTTTCATTCAATTCATAATAAAAACTAAAATCTGCAACAAAAAAAAACCCCTTTCTTTCTTTTTAGTAAAGTTACCCACTATTTATAATCAGTTACAATCAGATTGCCCAAATCTTATTTTAATCTGCATCATATCATTCTTATTTGTGTACATAGTTTATCTTCTTACTGTAGTATTGTTGTGGTTGTTGTTAAGTGCCATTTAGTTGGTTCTGACTCATAGCTACCCTGCGTAGGGTTTCCTAGGAGCTACTGGTGAGCTTGAACAGCTGACCTTGCAGTTTGAACTGATCTTTCAGTCCACAGCACCACACCAGGACTTCTACTAGAGTATGGTTGTTGTTGTTGTTAAGTGCTGTCGAGTTGATTGCGACCCATAGTGACCTTGTATAGGGTTTCCAAGGAGCAGCTGGTGAGCTTGAACCACTGACCTTGTAGTTCAAACAACTTTGCAGTCTGACACATTAGCCCACAGTGCCACACCAGGACAAAGTACGGCACTATGTTATTTTCTTCACATATGTATTTTTGTATACATTAGGAGCTCTGGTAGCGTAGTGGTTACGAATCGGGCTGCGAACCTTAAGGTCAGCGGTTCGAAACTACCAGCCGCTCCGCGGGAGAAAGATGAGGCTTTCTACTCCCGTAAAGATTTACACCCTCGGAAACCCTGTACAGGGTCGCTATGGGTCAGACCCGACTCGATGGCACTTAACAACAACAGTGTTACTAACTAAAATATTTTCAATATAGTTAAAATATATGTCTTTCTCACTCTCTAAAGTATGTAAAGCATGTAAAAAGGCTACAATATTATTTCATTAGTTTAGTTCTATGCAAAGTAGATTGAATGGGAAAAAGTGATTTGGACATACTGATTTGAATTGTGAGCAGGACGTCTCTCTTCCTCTGTGTTATTAGATGTCTCTGGAATTAGCTTTGTGAAGCAAGGGGTAAGATCTGGATGGGGACAAAGAAGATCCAAGTTTCTTGGGTGCACTAACTTGTCATGATGCTATATCAAACTTTACTCAAATAGTTTCCAAGGATTTTCCTTGAAAAGAGAGCTCTGTGCTAAACTATAAAAGTAAATGCTGCCATCCTATATCCTCACTTGGAAATTAATGATGCATGTTAGTATGATGAAATGAGAATTCCAGAACCAAAGAAATACCTTTACATTTCTTTCACTGTTTTTAGGAGACCTGGTGTGCCGCTGTAGGATAAGCACTGACCAGCAAAATGCGTTTGAACAACAAAGTTGGTGGTTCAAACTCACCATTCACTCCTTGGAAACGCTATGAGTCGGAAATAACTTGATGGCACTTAATAACAATTCTTTTTATATGACACTCAGAAAATCATTTTGAAGAGTATTTGCTTTTGCATTTGCACAAAGTATTTGTCTAGATCAGTGGCATTCAACGTGTAGAACTGGGCCAGTGGCATTAGTAACACCTGGGAACTTGAAAGAGCTACAAATTCTCAGGCCCCCATAGTATGGTAATGATTCAGAAACACTACAAATGGGGCTCAGAATCCATGATTTAAAAAGTCCTGCAGGTGATCTAAGGAACCCTGGTGGTAGTCTCAGCTGCGTTTGAACCTACCATTGGCTGTGCGTGAGAAAAATTTTGGCTACTTGCTTTCATAAAGAGTCATGTGGTAGTTCTAATCAGTCCTACAGGGTTGCTATGAGTCAGGACTGATTTGATGATGCGCAACAACAACAACAGGTGACCCGAGGCCTGCCAAAATTTGAAAATTAGTGTTTTAGAATAATTACTATCCAGGTGTTCTGTATGGGTAATAAAATTTTCTTAATTAGGAAGTGAATCATTTAAAAGCTTAACAGACTTGATATTCACCTGGAATGTTCGTTAAAAAGACAGATTTCTGGCTCTATTTCTACTTAGATCAGAATTTCTGGGAAGTGGGACTCTGGACTCAGCATCTTTCATCAGCCCAGTATACCCGTATGTTCCTGCTGCAGGTTGTCTTCAGAACTTACTTCAGAAACTCTCCCATAGATTTGAGGTTGAGAACACCACTCCTGGATTCCTTTGATATTCGGATTTTGAATAATCAAAAGTTGAGGAACTCCTACTTCTGTCAGAGAGGAGTTCAGGATAAATGTGGATGTGATGATGTTCATGTGTTAAATAGCATCTCTTCTTGAAATGTAAGAATAAATACTATAGATTATTATGTGTACATGGTTATTGATTAATGAATGAAGAAGGAATTAATTTATAGTTGGATTTATACAAAGTGAAGCATTCCTGATTCTAACATACTTTCTCAAATTTCAACACCCATTCTTGGGACTCATTCGGACATCTTACACTCAGAAAGTTATGGTCCACAAAAGTAGAGGTGATCTTGACCACCAGAGTAACCCTTGGGATGCAGGCTGGCTAGGCAGAGTTATTCATCAAAGTCATTGTGTGTGAGCTCCTTAAAGTTGAATGACAACAGCAGTTTGCTGGGCTCTTTCTGATTTGAGGAATCCTTGGATAGTTCAAATAATTAACCTGCTTGACTGCTAACCAAAAGGTTGGAGGTTCAAGTTCACTCAGAGATGCCTTAGAAGAAAACACTTGCAATTTAATTCCGAAAATCAGTGATTGAAGACCCTATGGAGCACAATTCTACTTGGACATACACTGGGTTGCTATGAGTTGAAATTGACTCAACAGAACAAGGAACTGGTATCATCATTGGAGGCTACTCTGAAGAAATCAGGGAACATAATGTTATCTTGGACAACTTCTAAAGAAAATTGAGATCACTATAATGCCATATTTTGTGTTCTAGCTCATAGGAAGTACTCTAAGAAGAAAGTCCCTGTGGAGTGACTTAAACATCATTTAAGAATTACTGAGTAAACACATATAAATATATTTGAGATCAAAAGTATGTCTTTTTTCTTTTAAAGGCCAGTGTCCAGTTGCTTAGGTATTCCCAATGTTATTTTGACAATAAATAACACTTAAAAATATATTTTAGTGTATTTTAATATATAGTATGTGATTGTGTACTAATATACACTTTCTTCTGTTTTTAACCTTAAAAAAAGCAACCACCAACTTTAATATTCTAAAATGAGAACAATTAAATTCTACATCAAATTGTTTGTCATTGCCCTCTAACAATATTCTAATATTGTTGTTGTTCTGTGCCTTTGAATCATAAAGACCCTGTAGGACAGAGTAGAACAGCTCCGTAGGGTTATTTAGGCTGTGATTTTTATGGAGCAGACAATTATAAAAAAACCTGATTTAGAAAATGTTGGGATATTTAGTGTTCTAGAATTTTAAATGTGGCACCAATTAAAGAATGCTTGAATATGCTTCAGATATTTTTATATTCCTACTTAAAAATAAAAAATCACTATCACACCCGTAAGTAAATACTGATTTTCTAATTTTCATTACTGAGTGCCAAGTGGGCAGTATTTCATTTTGTTGTGCATAAGGTCAATATGATTAGGTACCAACTCCGTGGCACCTAACAACAAAGTCTGTCACAGGAAAAGGGTGTAAGCAAAGCTTTTCTTTATCTAGTCCCTTGTACTCCCTGCCCTTTTCCTATCCTTGGAATTTAGATTTTTTTCATTTTCATTGCGCCAGGGAAGGAAGAGATGACACAGAAGTCTGCAGTTAGTAAGGAAGTCAAATTCTTGGCATTTCATTTTCAAAGGCTTAGCATGGATATTTAAATGTTTGAAAAAACACAAAGAGAATTAGAAAAGCAGTATTTACTTATGGGTGTGATGGTGATTTTTATTTTTAACTAGGAAAACAAGCCTCCACTATGGAAACCCTCTGCAGGGTCACAATGTGTCTTAACCAACTCTGTCGCACACCACCACTACCACCATCAGACCACCACCACCATCAGACCTGAGGTGCATTGGGTAGGAATCAAACCCAGGTCTCTCACAAGGAAGGCAAGGTTTCTACCACTGAACCATAAACTTAAAAAAAAAAAAAAAAAATTATGTGTTGTTGTTACTAAGTGCCATCATGTCAGTTTCAACCTATAATGACCCTGTATAGAGTTTCCAAGGAGCAGCTGCTGAGCTTGAATTGCTGACCTATGGTTCAAAGGGCTTTGCAGTCCAGCAAATGTGATGGTGGTAATGTACCATGGAGTCGGTTCTGACTCATAGTGACTCTGTACAGGGTTTCCGTAAATCTTTATGGAGCAGAAAGCCTCATCTTTCTCCCGGAACAGCTGGTAGCTTCAAACTGCTGACCTTGAGGTTCACAGACTGATTTGTAACCACTACACTACAAGAGCTCTTTACACTAAATGTGTTGTTATTGTTAAGGTGTCATTGAGTCGGTACCGACTCATAGCGAATCTATGTATAACAACAAAATACTGCCTGATCCTGAATCAGCTTCACAATTGTTGCCATTCTTGAGCCCATTGATGCTGCCACTTTGCCAATCCATCTCACTGGGGGTCTTCCTCTATTTCTCTGACCCTCTATCCTACCAAACAACATCCTTCTCCAGTGACTGGTTCCTCCTGACAGTATGTACAAAGTATGAGAGACAAAGTTTGGCCATCTTGGCCTCCAAGGAGCACTTTAGCGGCACTTCTTCCAACATAGATCTGTTGGTTCTTTTGGCAGCCCATGGCACTTTCAATATTCTCCTCCAACACCATAGCTCAAAAGCATCAATTCTTCTACGGTCTTCCTTATTCACTGTTCAGCTTTCGCATGCATATGAGGTTATTGAAAATACCATGGCTTGGGTCAGGCGCACCTTAGTCTTCAAGCTGACATCTTTGTTCTTCAACACTTTAAAAAGGTCTTGTGCAGCAGATTTGCCTAATGCAATATGTCATTTGATTTCTTGACTGCTGCTTCCATGAGTTTTGATAGCTGATCCAAGAAGAATGAATTCCTTGACAACTTCAATCTTTTCTCCATTGATAAAAATATTGTTTATTGGTGCAGTGGTGAGGATTTTTGTTTTCTTGACATTGAGATGCAATCCATCCCGAAGGCTGTGTTCTTTGATCTTCATCAGTAAATGTTTCAAGTACTCTTCACTTTCAAGAAGCAAGGTAGTATCATCCTGGCTTAGGAGTAATTAAATGTCTCTGTGAGTTCCAGAGTACCAAGGACATAGTTGGGAGAGGTATTGGCTGTGCCAGGCCTAAGGCATAGTTGTTGTTTTTATGTGCCGTGGAGTCGTTTCCGACTCATAGTGACCCTACATAGGGTTTCTGAGGCTGTAAATCTTTACGAGAGCAGAAAGCCTCATCTTTCTCCCATGGAACAGCTGGTAGTTTCGAACTGCTGACCTTGCGGCTCGCAGTCCGATTCGTAATCACTACGCTACCAGAGTAGTGACCTGTAAGTGAGAACTAGATAGATTGATGTGCATCTTAGTGGATGTTGTAATCAACAAATGATGTCAGACAAGCAGATCTGCTCTGTAGCCCTCCACATGTTTTTATGTGCTTTAGAGACTACTAAACTTGCAATTCCAGGGAAAGGAAATGAATAAGGTCTTTAACTGCCTTTGTTTAAGATTTATTACATGCAGCAGAGTAATAAATGAGAAAAGTCTACAATTCTTATTTATCTTATAATGACACCTGACTGTGAGATCCACCTATGTGGTACAGTGCTTCAATTTCCCCACTTTTAAAGGGGACAAACACAGTACTGTTCTCAGGTTGTAGTAGGGATTTAATGAGGGAGAATATAGGAAGTATTTAGAACAGTATTGTATATATATATGAGGGTCTTCAAAAGTTCATAGGAATTTTCCGTTGTTTTATAATTTCATTTTCTATGAACATTCTGAAGCCCTTTTGTATATTGTTGTTGTTGTTAAGTGCCATTAAGTTGGTTCCAACCCACAGTGACCTTACGTAGGTTTTCCGAGGAGCAGCTGGTGATTCAAGCTGACCTTGAGATCCAGAGGATTATCCTGCAGTGCCATACCAGTACTCCCCTTGTATATTAGGTGTTATAAAAATAATAGTAACTTGTCTTAGTATAGCTTACTTGAATATTTATTTTTATTTTAGATGTTAATCTAGTACCTTTCAAGTACTACATTCTATAAAGACAACTAAAAGTTTATTAATTTTTCCATCTTATTTGTTTAAGACAATTAAAACATGATTTAAGGGGGGGGGGTGGTTTCCAAAAATTTAAAATTTTGTCCGTTAGAGATTTGTTTGATTATCATACAAAGATTGTTATGGGTTAAACTATGTTCCCGCAAAATTTCCATTGGAATCTTAACCCCTATATTTATGGATGTAATTTTGCTTGAGAATAGGGTTTTCTCTGCTAGTTAAATGAGGTCATAGTGTGGCATTGTAGAATGAATCCTGGACTGCTAGCCACAAGAGCATCAGTTCAAACTCATTAGCTACTACTCTACGTAGGGTCCTTATGAATCAGAATCGACTCCAAAGCACTTAATAATAATAACAGCATGCCGGTGTAGGGTATGTCCTAAATCTGATCACTTCAAGTTATAAAAAGAGCAGTTGAGACACACAAACACACAGACACATACACACTATGTGAGAATTATGTGTGTGCAAACCAAGGGACCAAGGAATGCCTGAGACTATCTACAAGGAAGGAATTGGTAAAACCAAGATGCTGAGTTGGAATTTTAGCCTCCATAACTGTGAGGAAGTAAGTTTTTGTTATTTAAAGCCACTGACTTGTGGGGTACACAGTGTCAGATTATCCAAGGAAGGTAAGCATAGGTTTAGTTTTTATTTACTAATCTGTAGTGAGCAGTTTCACACATTTTTCACCACAGCAAAGATGGATGAGTAAAAGGTTGGTTGTTCAAACTCATTCAGCAGCAATTTGGGAAAAAGATTGGGTGATCTGTTACTATAAAGAATATAGCCAAGAAAACCTTATGGGGCAACTCTACTTTGCCATATGGGTTGGCTTTGAGTAAGAATAGACTTGATGATTATGAGTTGATAATTTTTACATCTAAAAAGTCTGAGATATTCATGAATTCATTAGTCCATGAAAAATATTCAGTGATTTGATTCTCTTTGTATTGAGATATCTTTACTTTTCCTACTTAGGCAAGTATTCAGTAGTAAGGAAATTACTTGATAGGTTATCTAAGAACACTGGGCACT